CCCCCTGCCCCAGCAACACCCTCAGAGGCACAAACGGCAATTGTATCTACTGATGAGAACATAGGCATCAAACTTTTTTCATCAGATCAGTACAAGGTATTGTCACTCATCAGTGTCACTGCCACGTCTGATAGAGACGGACACCGTGGAGATACAGAGTATGTAGCTTATCATTCAACTAGTGAAGGCAATGAGGCCTAGAATAGTCCTCACGTACAAATCCTCCAGGCTGAGAGAAAATTCGCCACTCTTTCACCTCTAATTGCTCGGAATGAAGAGGATCTTACCAGCTCGGTCATTCCAAAGGTTTTTTTTTTATAAAGTGTAATCTCTCTTGCGATGTACGAAACGCTTCAGTCAATCCACGCCAAGCAAGCTCCAACGTGTTGCCATGAGAGAATGTCCAAACGAACATAGAAATCACAGAAATTTGCCATGCAGAAGATTAAAATGAGGGGCTGATGTGTAAAAAGCAGCACACAGTACAATCCCTCGGTGTTAAACAGAATTTAGGCTGAATGACATACTCAATATCATTGGAGTCATAGAATTCCCACAGTGCAAATAGAGGCCATTCAGCCCATTGACCCTCCAAAGGGCATCCCACCCTGCATTCCCCATGGCTAATCCACCTAGCCTGCACATCCCCGGACACTATGGGGCAATTTAGCATGGCCAATCCACCTAACCTGCACATCTTTGGATTGTGGGAAGAAACTGGAGCACCCAGAGGAAATCCATGCAGACCACAAGGAGAATGTGTGAAGTTTGCACAGTCAGTCGCCTGAGGTTAGGATTGAATGCAGGTCCCTGGCAATGTAAGGCAGCAGTGTTAACCACTGAGCCACCATGCCACCCCGTGCCAGGTGGATCTTGGACACACAACCTTCAGATTCACAAACAAGGATGCTACGCACTGAGTCATGCAAACACCTAACTAGAGGCTCTGAGAATGATGGAGGCATGCAGGTCGTGAGTTATTACATACAGTGGATGAAGCAACAATCTGCAGTGATGGCAAACTCAACCAAGAGGCCCAGATCAATGCTATGGGGTTGTGTGTCCAAATCTCACACCCTGGCAGCTGTCAGAATTTAAATTTAATTCATAAATCTGGAATATAAAGACAATCTCAACAACAAAATTACAGTTGGTTGCATTAAAAACCCAGCCGGTTCACTATAAGAACATAAAAACCAGGAGCGGGAGTAGGCCATCTGGCCCATTGAGCCTACTCTGCCATTCATTAATATCATGGCTGATCGTTTCGTGGACTCAGCTCCATCTACCCTCCCGCTCACCATAACCCTTAATTCCTTTACTGTTCAAAAATCTTTACTGTTCACTAATGCTCTTTAAGGAAGGAAATATGCCATCGTTTTACCTGGCCTGACCTACATAGCAATGTGGTTGATTCTGAAATGGCTGGGCCAAGACATACAGCTCAAGGGCAGTTAGAGATTGGGCAACAAAGCCCTGACACCCACGTCCTGCAAGAGAATAAAAGCAAGCAGCTCCATGTTCCAAGGCAGAAGTCTGGGCTTGTGCAAAACTGGGCTGTTTTAGAGCTTTTCAATGCAACCAACAGAGGAAAGAGGTACACATCTTTGACACACTCCTCAAGAGTTAGAGCTGAAAGGATGAGGGAGTTGCTTTTGGGGCAGAGATTAATAAAGTTCTTTCTGGGTGTAAGACATCTTTAATTTCACACCCAGGATGAGAGAGGGCAGTATGTCACCTTCTATAATGTTCCTGCAGGGAACATACTGTTCTGGTTTCAATTTATTGAAGAACTTGTTCATTCTCTCTTTCTTTGTGATCACTTCTAATACAAGGCACACTCGAGCTTAACTTTAACGCAGGTTGCGCTGCTTTGGCTACCACTTTGATGGGGACAAAGATGCAAAGCTCAGCTCTCTCCATACATGGTGTGACTTGCGGAATCTTAATACGTTCACAGTTCTACCTGTTCACCTTCCAGATGTGAGCTCCCAGCAGTTAGTGAAGGAATAATGCATTGGATAGCCAGTCTAAAATAGGACAGGGGAGCAGGAAGATGCCAAAGGTATATGAGGTATATTGGCAACAACTATATTAAGAACTGGCATTGAAGAATAGGTCGCTAACTGCAAATCCTACCCCTATCTCTGGTATGTAGTAATTGTACCACCACCAACAACAACACAATCTGATGGAGCACCCATTGATGTTGTAAACCATTGCAAGCTACATCAGACAGAGCTTGACACTGAGCCACACAGACAGACATTCGGACAGCTGGCTAGGTCAAAGAGGTAGATTTTAAAGATCACCTTAACCAAAGAGAGGGAGAGTTACAGATGGAGATTTTTAGGGAGGGACTTTCAAAGCTTAGGGCCCAGGCAGCTGATGGCATATCTACCAATGGTAGAACAATGAAAATCAGGGATGCACCAGAGGCTAGAACTGGAGCAATACTAAAGTTTCTGACGAAGATTTACAGAACAGGAGGACAGTGCAGAGATAGGGAAGGGTGAGGCCATGGAGGAATCAGAACATGAAGAACAGAAATGTGAAGGTGAGGAATTGCCAGAACAGGAGCCAATGTCAATGACTGCAAAGGTCTGAGGCTAGTTAGGTCATGGCTAGCAGAGTTTCTGGATGGACTGAAGGGTGCAGATGGCGCAGGATGCACTATCAGCCAAGAGAGAGCTGGAGTGGTTCAATTGAGATGTCACAAAGGCATGTACAAGGCTCTCAGTAGCAGATGAGCTAAGGCAGAGAGGACAGGAATGATTCAGGACGGAGAAGAAATGGGGTCAAAATCTTGAGATCCAGTGGGGCTAGGGCTAAGGTTTCACTGTGAGGCAGTGGCTGGAAATTGGTTGGAACCAGTGACTAGACCTGTACAGTGGTGCATTAAAGATAGTGTACCATAAAATCACAGAAACCCTACAGTGTAGAAAGAGGCCACTTGACCCATCAAGTCTACACTAACCCTCTGCATAGCATCACTCCCATACCCAGCCCCCCACCCCACAGCTAATCCATTTAGCCTGCACATCCCTGAACACTATGCAGCAATTTAGCATGGCCAATCCACCTTGCCCGCACATCTTTGGACTGTGAGAGGAAACAAGAGCACCCAGAAGAAACCCACGCAGACACTGGGAGAACATGCAAACTCCACACAGACAGTTGCCCGAGACTGGAATCGAACCCGTGTCCCTGGCGCTGTGAGGCAGCAGTGCTAACCACTGTATAAATGCATGTTGTTGCTTTGGGTGTCACACTTCTAAAGAAAGTTAATTGAGAGCAAGACAAAAGCATCTTCTAACACACTTTTGCCACAGTTAGTGCTTCTTAAATAAGCTGACAGTCTTGACTGGCTATTGAAGCGATCCTTTGTATGTACAGCTGTTACAGCAATGCATAAGCTCACAACGGATTTCACTTTCCAAGACTGGCAATTAAATTACATTTACAGTGAAATTAATTAATTAAAGTTATTAAGCTAATTCTCTGAGACTGGAAAGAGATGAATCTTATAGCTCATTTACATCAGCAATGGGAAGCCCAGATGGATTCAGTGTCTTTGCCTGGAGGTGTTGATCTGGACCACTTCCTTCAGGCCCTTACATCAGAGAGTGACCCTCGGGTGTCAGCATCAGGTGCTGGTCTATTTAAGCATTACAGCTTCCTTTTACAGCTCAGGGTAGGAATAGCCCAGTTCAGTCTGCTGTAATCTGAGGTCCCGAGCTAGCATTTCAGTGGATCCTCAATACATTTGCCAACCTGGCCTCCAAGTGAAGGGGTGAATTTGAAAACAAGGATGAAAATGTTAAAATTGAGATGCTGCTTGACCCATTGTCAATGTAGAGCAGCAAGCACAGGGACAATACTACAGTTAAGACACAGGTGGTTCTGGAAAGTATATGTTAAATAGTTGAAGGTTGAAGTCAAACTCAGAGGCCAGTCTTGTCCTAGCTCCAACATCATCGCAGACAAAAAGAAATTGCTTCAAAACAACAGCTTTAATGCCCATTGCTAAACTTCCAGGATGCCGAACTCTGCAGTCACAGAATTCACAAAATCACAACACCGTCCAAACCCACGACCACTTCCATTTAGAAGGACAAGGGCAGCAGATATATGGGAACACCACCACCTGCAAGCTCCTCTCCGAGCCACTCACCATCCTGACTTGGAAATATATCGCCGTTCCTTCACTCTCGCTGGGTCAAACTCCTGGAATTCTGTGGTTTACGAAGGCAGCTCACTGCTACCTTCTCAAGGGCAACTAAGGATGGGCAATAAATGCTGGCCCAGACAGCGACACCCACATCCCACAAATGAATAAAGCAAAAGCAAGTATTGTTATGATGCAAAGGGAGGCCACTCAGCCCATCACATCTGAGCATTTTGATTTAGCACCAAAGTCTGGCCTTAAACCCGTAACCCTGTGGACATTTTCTATTTAAATAACCAGCTTAGGCCCTCTGAATGTCTCAATTGAACCTGACTCCACCACACTCCCAGGCAGGGTATGTCTAGTCCTTAAATACTTGCTGTGTGATGGCGTAAGACCACGCTGGTTCTGTGATTTATATGTTGAGTAGGTGGCAACCAACTTGCTTTGAGTAAGCATCTGCAATGTGGCAAGATAATCTGTCTCAGTGATACTGTTGGAACAGTATTTGAAACAGCAGTGTCTCAGCACCCCTCACCAAGAGTGCACTAGGAATGTCAGTCTACATTGTGCCCTCAGGTCTGGGGAGTGGAGCTTAAAATCATAGCCTTCTGACTCTGAGTGGTACCAACTGAGCCAGACCATGACTGTGATAACTGCAAAGGACTAGATTTATATATAAAACAAGGAAATGTTGTTTGTGCTGTCCATGTGTTAAGATATTACTAAAAGGACCAAGAAAGTAGCCCTTGCTGACAGATTGCCACTTAACCCAGGGAGAAACGGGGAGTCTGTCTAAAGCTTGTCTGCTGATACAGGCCAGTGTACTTGCCTCTGTTTCATGACGTCGAATTTCCTGGTTTTCAGCATGGTCATCAATTGGAGGTTCCCTGCAGACAAGACAGAATGTGTCAAGCCTAAAACAACTTGCATTTGTGGGTCACTTTCAACGTAGAATGACATTCCAAGTCCCATTCACAAGAGGAAACAGAAACAAGCCTTAGCCTTGGAGACAGTAGGAACTGCAGATGCTGGAGAATCTGAGATAACAAGGTGTACAGCCGGATGAACACAGCAGGCCAAGCAGCATCAGAGGAGCAGGAA